CAGTGTACGAATTCCAGCTTCATATTTGGTTTATTTTCTATGAACGAGCCACAATATTTTTTCTGGAGTAATTTTTATATAAAAGTTGGTTTACATTTCGCTTGGACAGGTGACATTCCTCTGATACTTTCTCTTTTTAATCTCCTCCCTCGTTTGATTGAGGTTTCAGGCTTGCAAACGGCGAAGTTGTAATAGTTTCTCGTAGTTTCGTATTAAATTTCTCGCATTTGCTAGTTGCAATGTTTATAGTTTTAGCGTTCCGTGGTTTCGTATTAAATCGTTTCAATGGCTACCGCTTTGCGTGTTTGCGGTCTCGACGTGAAGCGTATATGGCGTACATTGTTTCCACCGTGTTTGCACAACGATCTATTACCTTGCTAATAAAATTTCATGCACAATCTCATCCATTCCACGTATCATAGTTTCGCTTCTTGTGTTCAGAGTGAATCACCAGATATTACCGTCCTCGATTTTCGTCGTTATTAAACATAGCAAAGACTGTTTATATGTATACAATGCTGAATGGTTTCGAGAGAGACTGTTGTGAGCTATTTTGTAGCTGCACTTGCCTCTCTCAAAACTATTCAACATTATACAGGGTGGACCACGGGTCGTGATCAATAGAGACTACTACATTATTAGCAGTTCCATAAAAAATGTTTTTATCAGGAATAGCATGGTTTTAAGAGAGCTTTCACGTGACTATAGCAAATTTTTTGCCAATTCTTTTCTTCACGATTTTTCAAGGTCACCTTCAATTTTTTGCAAATGAACCTGTCATTTTTTCCGGATTAAATAATGTCTAGAGATTCTATTATTTTTTCTGGGACACTCTGTATAAACAGTCTTTGTCACGTGTATAATAATGACGAAAATCGAGGTGGTAATATCTGGTGAGCCGCCCTGTATAGAACGTCAGATTATTATTATTATTGTACGTTCATCTGCTAAATAATTTTAATGAAAACAGTGCCAAAAGAAATAGTAATCCATCATTCATTTTCATTTTGGATATCCTCATTCATTTTCCTAATTTTAAAATGAAAACTAATTAACTGCGAGGGAGTCAACAGAACCGTAAATTTTCGTATTATCAATTTCCTCTCCGGAGCGCTGAAACATCGCATTAAACGTTGCGCGACGATCGTTTATGCATTATATCCCGGGCTGTCGCGTTATTATTATCGAACAGAACCGAGAGACGGTTTCGAAAGTTCTTCGCGCTCGCGCGACACGATGCGACACGGTCGGTACCCGTCGGCGACGAGAAGGGAAAAAAGTGTTCGATAAAAATTTGATGAGCTCGCGACGAAGGTGATTCAGCCCCGGGCGGGTTGGGAAAATAAGAGGACAAAACGCTTCGCCACGGTTTTCACCTCTGCGTGGCGACAACTCTGTCCGCGGCAGAAAAACTTTTCGATGATATTGGAAAATGTCGCGTCACGGGACGGTGGATGATTTCACGTAATATTGGACCCGAGATTTTGTCACAGCTGGAAAATAAGAGAACCTGTCGAAAGTGTGTTTCATCTTAATTCGGTTCCTATTGTAATTTAATTTCGTTTTTCT